TTCCTCTTCCGGCTTTTTAAGGAGCAGGCTGACTGAGAGGACCACAGTAATAAGATGAGCAACATCTGCTAAGAGGAAAGACTGTCCAATCCCATGGACACCCTTAGTCAGCTCCTTCAGGAAGGACTTCTAGCTAAGTACTAGTAAAAGAGGGCTAAAGAATTCTACTATAAAGAACAACTCAGAAAGAAAAGTAGATTTGGAAAGATGAGTTCTAAAGGTAGGTATGGGGAAAATTCAAACTGATAGTCTTGGAAACATTCCATAAGGACATGAAATTACATCACTTATTGTACTGATCCAAGACCTGTGAACATTTATTGTTCTCACGCTAATAGGATGCACAAGAAGCCACTTGGAGCTATCTCTAAAATGGCCCTGGAACTGGTATTAACCACACAAATTTGTATCTGAAGCAATTTAGTAATTTTGAGACTACAGTGCTCCACAAAGTATGTTTTATGTAATTAGGCAAAAACTGTTCAGTCCTAGTCACTTAGCAAAACCTAACAATTCAATTTATAAATGTGTGTATGACTGTAGCATTTGTAGCCCACTTTGGATACATACATACACAATATACAGCCTAGATACATTTTGAAGCTCTGATTGTAAGCCAGACATGAAACATTTTACAAATCTCCATCAGTATTTAGATGTCAAGAGAAAAATGTGGCTTGTTGAAAAACAAAAAGCAAATAAAAGAAACACAGTTAATTTCCCTACTCTTGTTCCATCTGGTTGATCTGCAGACGAGTTGAAGTCAGTTTTTCCTCCAGGTCTTGCAGTGGACAAGTCTCAGGTGTGGTGTCCAGTTCTCTCAGCTGCATCTCACTCCCAACTGAATCCTACCAGGAAACACAAAGTCACACTGTTTGAATGTACTACCTTACAGAATCCCTCAGCAATATACTAGAGAATTATCAGCAGATGTATTTCTAAAGATTTCAGTAATGACCATTTCTAGAGAAACTGAGAAGAAAAGCAATCACATACTGTCTAGAGACATAAGCAATCCCTTCCAGGCACACCAAACAGAGGCTCAATTATGTTAAGAAAAATATTTACTTTTTTTTTACCTCATGATAGAACTTATGGAAGGTCTGTATATGCAGATTTACTGCTTGTATACACATCATCAGAACAAAGCATTCTGCAGATGTGTTGCACAGTTAGTCAACTTCTGATTGGCTATATCACCAACTCAAGTAAACTTTTTGGTAATTCATGTTCACAAAGGAACAGAAAAAGTTATTAGAACAGAGGAGGCAAGTATTGTCATTCCAGAAAGCTCACTACTACACATGCAGTTCTGTCTTTAACAATCTACAAAGTTGCCTGATACTACTGGAATTAAATAAGTAATTGTGTAGCAGGCTCTTCTTTAAATTTTGAATGTCACATGCAATGACAAACCTGTTACTGGCACACCTGGTGTACTGTCATTTAATAACATCATTATTTTATATTTTGGGGTTTTGGCAGAATCTTGCTCCTGCATTATACTAGAATCTGACTCTTATGGGATATCACTTTTCATTTGTGCTTATTTTAACTGTGAAATATTTTGACAGAGGAGGTACAAAAATGAGAAATTAGAAAACATGGAGACATCACTGTTAAACCTCAGGATTCTGAGTATTTTCCCACAGTCTACATTGGCCAATGTTCCTATTTTCTTTCAAAGCAGAAAACCACAACAGATCTATCTTTTCTGCCAAACTGTTAATACTACAATCCTTTCAGTAAATATCAAATACATACTAACTCCAAATATCACAGCAGGAATGTGGTGGTATCATGATGGACATGAGCACTTTTTATTTAACCCTTCTGGAAATAATGTTAGGATAGCCCAAGACTTTTTCCTTCAAAAAAAAATAAAGGGAGTTCACAGACTAATGTATGCACACTTTCAGCTTACATGTGTATTTTCACATAGTGTTAGGTTTTTCTAATACAGATATGGCCTAAATATTTCTATGATGTCTCTGCATATGTAAACATAGCAAATCTTTACTGATGAAAGGAAAACAGTACAATAACACAGACTTCTTTTACAATGCAAATTCCTATATAATAGCATGCATGTCTCCAAAGGTGTCTCCGTGAGCAACTAAGAATGTATTACATTAAGTAAAATCTGGTAGGGAGGTTATTATTAACAGAAGTCATTAAAGTTCGTCTGCAGGTATAAATTCACATGGTAATATGCATACCTGAGTGACGGAGAGATTGTTCTCAAAGCTCTTTCCTGAAGTAGCACAGTTAAAACAAGTCCCCAGCTGTGGTAAGAGACGGTTTTTTATTGTTTCTGCACCTTCATTATTACCATCTAAGAAAATACATACATTAAGAAATTGTGAGAATACTTACAGAAAGAGCCAGAGTTTGAAAAAATGTCACATGTGAAAAGTGTTAGTAATTAAACAAGGCACTGATTTACCTTCTCGAGATGTTTCATTGAGAATTGTGAAGAGCTGTTTTTGAATCTTGGTGTTCAATTCTAATATTTCACAACATCGGTTCAGATTCTCACCAGAGGAATTAATCTGTAAATTAATGTGTATTACTATATCTGTGGGGTTTTCTTACTTCAAGTTATTCCTGTTACGATCATGACATTTTTTCCCCTATAATTGCATCTTCACAACCTTTTCTTACTACATCCTCTAGAATACTCATCTGTTTTAAGGTTCACATTGTTAACAGGCAAATGAACAACATCAAACTTCTATCACTATCAGGACTTATATCACCCAGTTAATTCACTACCTGAGAAAACTTCTTTATGAATGGGGAAGGAAGTTGCAATCACAAATGCCTCTAAAAGAAGAATCATTATAATTGTGGATCTGAGTTGAAACCATTCAACAGTTATTAAAATAACAATATAGCAGATTGTTGGATGAAAAGTAAAACATATTAGTCCAAAATCTGGTTTTCCATATTAGCTAAAATAATACATATAAGGCTATTATCTTGCTTTGTCAGCAGTCACATGAGGCCTCCATGCAATTTCATCTGATTTTTAAGAGTTACGAACTGAAAAAAATACTGAAGAAGGGGCAAAATCCAGCACTATGCCTAGGAAACAGCAAAATTACACTACTTTCAAGAAATGCAATTTTGAAAAGGAGTAGGATACTACTGCACCTGCCAGGAGAACACATAGTTTGTACCTGCTTCCTTAATCTTTATCTGTAGCCTGCATAGCACCTTCCACATAGATCACCCTGTAGGTTTTCAGGCTCTAATGACACCATATGGGTTTTACAAGCTTCCAAAACAGCTGAAATTCTCATTCATGTCCGTGTCAGCTTGCATTTTGATTGCTGCAACATGCTTTCCTCTGGCCTTGGGGAGCACAGTCAACCTGCTCACCTCCACCAGAACACGGCTGCAAAGTGCATTTTTCCAGTTCATTACAGCGACATAACACCCATGGTGCTTCCATCTGCCACCTCCTCTTTTTCTGCACCAGCAGCCTGAAGCTGTTCATGTTCATTGCCCAAGACCTCAGAGAGTACCTACAACTCACTTATCACAGAGAATTCATCTCCCACTACTCCTCAGCCCTTCTGAGGTCTACCTGCACCATCCATTTGCAAGATTGTAAAATGCATTCCACTGCTCTTCCTGCTCTGGCATTCTCTGTGGTAGCTTTATCAGCTACTCTCAAAATACTTAAAACTCTTCTTTGCCACAAATCCCACAGAGAGTTACACTGGCTATTAACATCCTGTAACTCCTACCTACCACAAAGTAAAAAAAATATTTAATTTCCCTTGAAAAGGCTAGATCTCTGCTCAACACCTTTTCTTATCAACAACAGTACGCAGTAGGTGGTTAAAGGTTCGTGACCAAATCAACTATCCGTCTCCTGAAGCTAATGAAACCTAGGGATGCACGAGTGAGAACTCTGTCAAGATTTTTTCCACTGAGAAAAGTCACAGTTGTGAAGTCTTGGGTTCCTTCAACTCATCTTTCGCTAAGTTTACATCTTCTCTACTGTTTCTACTGTTGCACTTCCTCAGTCCCCTGTTATCGCTGACTCCTCCGTGGAGGAGCCACCAGCAGCCTTCTCCTCACCCACACCCGAAACTCTTCCCTCACTCCCACTTCCCTCCTTCAGAAGCCCTTTGGAAGCCGTGCTGTCTTGCAGGAGCCTCTCAGCTCTAAGAGGTTTCCCATCCAGAACAGCTGGATGCCGGATAACCCGTTCTCACTTTCAGCACCCTTTTTCCTCACGTTCTCCTGACTGTTCCCGGGCTAAGAGCGATTCCTTTTGCACACACCCTGACCCGCGGTCCTTCCACCTGCTGGTCTCCACCACAACGTTCAGCTATGCTCCAGACACAGCCAGTGCCGCTCAAACCTTGCTTTTAACCTCCAGCTCTTGCTTTCACGGAACCTTGTCACGGGCAAAAAGCCAAACAGCTGAAGCTGGAAGTGCTTAAAAAGTGTTGGAACCGTGGTAACCAGGTGCGCGTGCGGGGCAGCACTCCCAAACCGGCCTCTGGGACACCGAGCGGCGGCCGCTCCCCGCTCCGCGTCCCGCCGTCACCGCGGGAACCCGGCCCCGAGGAGCGGCAGGACCCACCTCATAGTCCTGCTGCCAGCTCTCCAGCTTCTCCTGCAGTGCCCGGGCGCTCCCCGCGCCCACCAGATTCCTTAAGTCCTCGGCCATGGCCGGCGGTCAGCTCGCTCCCGGGAGTGGGGCAGGATGTGCTGCGCTGATTTTTCTGTCCCTCCGGGAGCGCTTCTCGGGCGGCGCGGGTGGAACGAAGATGTTACAGCCGGCCCGGACCCTCTGCCCTGGGCTGGGCCGCGGCAGCCGCGGTGGTGACGCGCGGGACGGCCCGTGGCGGCGGCGGTGCCACGGCAACGCTGCGGGGGGGGCGGTGGCCGCCCTGGAGCGGGCCCGGCCCGCGGCCGCCGGGCGGCGCCGCCGGGTAACGCCTGAGGGCACGGGCCGCGGGGACCCGCCCGCTCAGCGGCACCAGGGGGCGCCCGCGGCCTCTCTGCAGCGGCGGCGGCAGCAGCGGGGGAAGATGGCGGCGGCCGCCCCCGAGCAGGTCCGTCAGCGCCGGGACACGGCCCGGGGAGGCGGCGGCTCCGTCCCGGCGGAGCGAGGGGGGAGCGGGGCCGCGGGGAGCGGCCGGTCCGGCCGGGGGGTGCTGCTCGCGCACGGGGCGCTCTGGCAGGGGCGCCATTTTCGCAGCGTGTGTGGGGCTGGTGCGGTGCCGGAGCCCGCCAGCCCCGCCGCCTGCCCGGGCCGGGGAGGTTCAGTGGCGCTTGGGGGGGCGCTCCCGCCCGGTGACCGGGGCTGTGCGGGGCAGGACAGGCTCGGCCATGCGGGGCCCGGAGCGGCGCCATCCTGGCCGCAGGCGCGGATCTGTGACAAACAAAAATACTTTCTGCCTTGGGAATAAAGCGCGTGGCATTTCTGCACTGCTGGAATGGCGCTGCCTTGCGTGAAGGAGGTGCTTGGCACTGAGGAGCGGTGCAGGAGGCGGCGGTGGGTGCGTACGCGGCCGCGCGGTTTGTGCAGGATCGGAGTGGTTCCGGAACATCGCTGAGGCAGCCCTCATAAACTTGTCCAGGTCAAGCACCTTTCTCAGCAACATTTTTTTGTGCTTCGGCAACAGAAGAAAACAAGATATTTTTACCCTTTACAGCAATATAGACACGAGCAAGTGCAGTAAGCTTAGGGATTCATTTCAGGTGAACAAAATAACATCAGAAATATCAAGTCCCTTCTGTGAAGATCTGAATCCTTAAATAGCGATCTATTCAGTTCAAGGGAGGTGGAACAAAATTGTAGACAGCTAGAAAAAAACATCGAAGGTTTATTTTCTCTGGGAATACCTTCTGGAGTTTTCTCTAATAATTTGTTACATTGACAGGATATCCTTTGCAAACTAGTAACTTAAGATTATTAAATTTAATTAGGCAGGCCAAGTTTCCCATGACAGGTTTGAAGCCTCACAGTATTTTTCTCAATGCAAGCAATGTAAGTTTAATGCAAACCCTATGCTATCAATCTAACTTAAAAACTATTCACCACACTCCTTTTGAATAGACTAATTGAGAGTCTGTCATACGTGAGCATGAAGGGAGCTAAAATCCTCTATATTGGCGAATGACCTGCAGGATTATCTCCTGTATCTTCCCTGAGAGGTAAAAACTTGATTAAGTTCTTTTACAGCTGCTTTGGGTTTTTTTACTGCAGCAGTGTCATTAATAATTTCTATCTGCCATAATAAAAATGAGATATAAAACCATATATTGTCTGAAAATACCTGGATTTTAAACTTAGTCATTGTGTTAGCAGAGATTGCTGTGGTTCTAGGCATGTATGCTAAGTACAGAGTGGCAGACTGAAATCTAATGTTGAATATAACATCTAGTGTGTTACACTAGTCAATTCAGATTTATATTTTTTGCATACGTATACATGTGTCATTTTGGTGAATTGACATGCCTTTTAAAACTAATCCATGCTTTGTGTTACAGCAAAGTTCTAATGGCCCAGTGAAGAAGTCTATGCGAGAGAAGGCTGTGGAGCGCAGGAACGTTAATAAGGAGCACAACAGTAACTTCAAAGCAGGATACATTCCAATTGATGAAGACCGTCTCCATAAGACAGGGTTACGTGGCAGGAAAGGGAACTTGGCCATATGTGTGATTGTTGTTCTTTTTATTTTGGCCGTCATCAATCTGATTGTGAGTATAATACTTACACTGTAAGCAACTTTAGGTCATACTTCATTGTGATGGTTTATTAGAGGAATAAAACTTTTCTAGTATGGCTGAGGGCTTAAAATGTACTGAAGGAGATTCTCATTTTTCTCCTTCCTTTCTTGTTCTTTTGTAGCCTGAACAAGATTAGATGGAAGAATCTTGTAAATTCAGCCATGTAAATTCAGTTACCAAGATCCCAGCAAGGAACTTACTGTTTATGCAAGAAAGAATTAGGAACCTTCAAAGTGTCACTCCATGCAAAGTATTATTAGTACAAATGCATTCAGGATATATGTCAGGAACATTTTACATAACAGAGCTGCACGTGAGCATTCAGAATTAACCAGCCACTGCAATCTAAAGCTTCATTGTTGTAATTACCACCTCTTTATTGCTTGGTCAAGGAGAAGTAATGTATTATTTTTTGTAACTGGATGACCACCTGGGAGGGTACATTCTTCTAGTTCAGGGTTAAGTATATACTGAGCTGAGCTGTTCAGGAAATTTGCTTAGGCAATACTATCATGATTACCCTTAAACAGAAAAAAGATATATTCTGGATTTAATATTTTCATATATATATATATAAAAATCATTTTAGTTACTGTTCCAGATAAGTCTAAAATTAATGTAAAATGCTTTTCATAATTAAATGTGTTATGATGGAATTAAACAGACTAAAGTAAATTCACACCTAAAGCTCACTTCAACACTAGCATTAATAATTTTTTCAAATAAAACATATAGTTAATACCGTACTTCTTGTGGGAAGATACAAACAATCAACTTAATCTTTTAAAATATGTTTCTCTTTCAGATTACCCTGGTTATCTGGGCAGTGATTCGAATCGGTCCCAATGGTTGTGACAGTATGGAATTCCATGAGAGTGGCTTGTTACGGTTTAAGCAAGTGTCTGACATGGGTGTTATACATCCCTTATATAAAAGCACTGTAGGAGGGAGACGGAATGAAGATTTGGTGATCACTGGGAATAATCAGCCTGTAAGTTTTACCATGAATTGAAAGTTTATGAGCAACACTAGGGAATTACACTTACCTTACTAATAAATGTTATATTTGAAACTTTATTTAACCTAATGGCTTTTTTTCTGAAGATTGTATTTCAGCAAGGAACAACCAAGCTTAGTGTGGAAAAAGACAAAACTTCTATAACCAGTGATATTGGCATGGAATTTGTTGACCCACGGACACAAAATACCTTGTTCAGCACGGACTATGAAACTCATGAGTTTCATCTGCCAAATGGAGTTAAAATCTTGAATGTACAAAAGGCCTCTACAGAGAGGGTATGTCTCTCTTAACTTGCTTTTTATAATTAATGAGAATACAGTGCATACTTTGTTTGTATAACAGGAGAGTAGCACTAGTTATTTTATAGAGGGTTAAGTGTGCCTTACGAAGCATTGAGCAGCCCTGTTCCAGAAAAAAAAACCCCAAACCTATAAATACATAGAAGGAACAGATTAAGTGAAAACAGAGGGGTAAGTTTACATAATCAGTCCTAAAAGGAAGCGTGTATTTGCAACAAGTGTTAGCTGTGTATGCCATGAAATTGTCATATGAATTGTTATTTTTACCACAAAAATAAACTATTTTACATGCCTTAAAAAATTAAGTCATTCTGGTTTTAAATGTGAATATGGAAAATAATAAATAGGCAGAAGGTTTGCAGGCATAATGGCAGAAGGGCAAGAAGTACATTGACATTTTTTATTAAATTGTGTAGCAATACTTTTAAGGTAATTAAGCTACTCAGATAAATAGAAGTGACACATTTTCATTGATCTGTAATACACTTTTTTTGTGTGTTATGTTCTTAGATTACCAGCAATGCGACCAGTGATCTAAACATAAAGGTCGATGGCCGTGCTATTGTCCGTGGAAATGAAGGTGTTTTCATTACAGGCAAGACCATTGAGTTTCGAATGGGTGGTAACATGGAACTTAAAGCAGTAAGTATTTCAAATCAGCATTTTTTGAATAGTTTAGTTTCAAATTCAGGCTGGTAGTAAACTGACGTAGCTTTATATGATTTCAGATCTTATATTAAGTAGTTATGCATAAAAGTTTAGTCAGTATACCTGGCAGGATTTAAATAGGTGGCTTATTACTTTGCTGTTAAGTAGTGGTTCATTAGTTTTCAGGTAACAGTGATTTACTACTGTTAAGACACAAAAAAACCCATAATACAATTAAAGCCAAGCTATTGGCCTCTGCCCTGGAAAAAATACCAAAAGGAATTAATTTTCTTTTCTGGAAGCTTTTCGGGGGTCAGTAACCTTTGCCACTGTAGTTAGAAGCACTACCTTCTGTGCTGCCACAGTAAGACTCACTAGCATTCCTTTAAGATTTTTGGAGACTGCAGGACGTATGGAATGATGAAAAAGGTTAAAGGAGGATAAAAAATAGAGGTATATGCACTTTCTTTTCAAGTGTGAACAAATTTCCTACATGAATTCAAACACTGATTACCATTTCACATCCATATTTTTAGATTTACTGCATTTGCTAATAGGTCTGTAAAGTGAAAAGCCACACTTCTGCTGTCTCAATAATGATCTACCACTGGAACAGCAAAGTACATTGCTTTGCATAGTTGAGAAATATGTGAGAAAAGCACAGTTGCTTTGCATAGTTGAGAAATCCATGAGCATTATTATAATTTCCATTAAAAAATTAAACCTTTTCATACATACCTATTTTACTATGTTGGTTCTGCAGCTGTCCTACAGATGTCATTTATTTGTTAAACCAGCTTGTCCTTCTCAAAAATAACCTGCCTTGTTTAAATTAGAAGCTGTACTTTTTTTTTCTCTCCTCCTTAATAGGAAAACAGCATTATCCTGAATGGAACTGTGATGGTCAGCCCATCACGACTGCCAAGTTCTTCCTACGGGGAACAGTTCAATAATGGCAACTGGCTGCGTTTCAAGCTCTGTATGTGTGCGGATGGGACACTGTTCAAGGTTCAGGTGACAGGTTATAACATGGGCTGTCAGACCTCTGTCAATCCATGTGGAGCCACACACTAAAGCAAACCACTGCCAGGAGAGTTCTCTTTGGTGTTTACATGCATTTGTATGAAGTAATTGCATGCCTTCAAGGATTTCTGTTTTTACAGCAGTTTATACTAACATTTCTTACATAACATTTTTAAGGAAAGGCTGTTATGGTCAGAAGTATTATGTTATCATCCTGCTAGCTGCAAGAGTGGCACTGATTCAGTAAGCTTTCAGGGTACGTGCACACTGAAGTACCTTCTTGAATATATTTAAAGAACATGATCTTAGCAACAACATTTACTGCCTTCAGTTGCCTTTAGAGGTTTTTGTCCTACGTCCCAAGACCTCGAGGACTGCTGACAACATGACTGTGATCTGAAGTACTTCAAGAGGAATGTCAACTTGTTGCTGGAAGTGAGTTTGCCTAGGATGGCTGAAGTGGCAGATTTTTGTCTCCTCTCCATTTCCTGTTGATACAATGATTTCTCCCAAACTTACGTGGTTTACCAGATGCATACTAAGTGAGGGGTAATGGCAGATTCACTTTAAAATATCGTATTATTTCTGCCATTTATTCTCATGTGATTAAAAAATCATAAATCATATTTGCAAAGTAATACCGAGTGTGCAAATGTCACTTGAATTTTGAAACAGTCTTGCAGTTATTCAAGTGTTGCTTGAGCTCCCATTCTCTCTGTACTGTTAAGGCATTCTGCAGGTGCTTAATTTATGTGAAGTATTTATAAAACATGTTTATATTAGAAATACATTTTTAAAGACATAACTTGCTCACTACCCAAAAATAGTGTTTTCCTGGGTGCTTTAATGTGAATAGTGTCTTGAGTAATAACCTAAAGCATGACTGTTGCAGCAGTGTCTGAGATCATTTCTCTTTACCCATAAAGGTCAGTACAGATGCGTTACTCAAAACCTTAGAGTTAAATTCTGAAGTTAAACTGCAGGTCTGTAATTCTAAATGTGATGGTATGACAGCAGAGTATATACATGTGTATTGGAATCTGTCAGCAGTGGAAGTGTGGTGAACTGGGGCCTATTGCAGCCTTGTAACTGCTTTTGCAGCAGTAAGATGTTTTGTGCTAAAAAATAGACCAGCTATTTATAAGACTGCTCCTTTCCCCATCCCACATATTTCTTCAGTTTAAAATAGCTTTTTAATGTTTTACAGTAGCATCAAATAACCTTAATAATGGAGGCCACAAAGGTGACTTTGCAACAAGCTTTTCTAGATAAGAACACATTTCTTTTTCTAAATGTTGTGCGAATGTTACAAGTTAACTTCAAAACTGGTCATTTGTTCTGCGAAGATAAACTATCTACCCTTGTTTTACAGCACTCAAAGTACATAGAAGTCCATAAAATACAAACCAGCTTCTGCTGTAACAGGAACTTCACATCTAAGGTCCCAATTCCTAAATTTACTGGAAGTCAGCAAGTCTTCAGGCAGGATGTGTATGGGAGAAAGTGATTTCTGGAGGGGGATCCTTAAGTCAGGTATTATACCACAGGAAGTCAGAGTGGTTGTTTCTGTCACTGCTCAAAGGCAAAGCTGGATTTTGATGCTCAGTAATTGTTGGGGTTTTGAGGCTGCACAGCGCTGGAGCTGTTCTGACAAAATCAGAATAAGCAGAATAAAATGTAGCAAAAGACACTGAGTTGCTCACGTTAAAGATTATGGGGAAGTACTAACATTTTGCGTAATGCCTTCATGAACTTCATAGTTTTACTAGAGTTAATAGTTATTAAACACTTTTCACACCCATTTTGCTGAAAACGTGCACTTATCTTTACTGCGAAGCAGTGCCTCATTTAGCATTTAGTTACAGTTAAGAGGAGGAAATAAACATTTTTTATAATTCTCACTCTCATGCTAATGGAAGTTCGTCACTTTATTTTTATATATATCTACATACATATATAAATACATTTTAAAAAGATCAGTATCCTCAAAGCCGAAGTAGATCTTGCAAATGACAGATACTGCCTTGGTCAAGTAGGTTACACACAAAGAGCATACTTAAGCTCTTCCCTGATTAATACTGACATGCCTATATGCTAGTATTGGATTCTTGTAATTATCAAGAGTTCATTTTAAAAGACTGTATGCAGTGTAGCTTACAGATTTGTCACAAAGGTACTCTTAAATCATGGTCTGGAGAATTGATTTTGAAGTGTGAATATTTTTGGTTGAAGTGTAGCAAAACCAATAATACAAATAACAAATGAAATAAATTATCAGTTTGCTACCCACTGTTTATGTATTGCTAATACGTTTAATATTTATATTACATAGTTTGAGAAATGTTGGCAACACACACGCCTTGTGTTGTCCATTTACTTGTACGTCTTGTAACTAACTGCCTAAGGTACATTTTTTTATATGTATTTAAAACATATCATGTGGCACATTATTTCAGTCCCACAGATGCACTCAAGATTCTGTGTGTTTAAAGTGCATTCTACATGCCTCTGTAAAATGCCATACTGGGTACGCTGAAACAACTTGCATGTGAAGAGTTCTCAGCATATGTAAAGGTGGTAGTTGTTTCAATGGGTGAAAGACAATAGAATTTCTAATCTTTGTTTTGAAATGAAACAATAAATTCTAAGATGCAGCTGTGCTTCAGAAGTCTTATTTCTAAGAATATAGTTTTTCATTAAAAATACATTGTTGTGTTATTGACAGGGAAACTGGTATTTTATTAACTGTAATTATGAAAGTCAATCCACACCTATTTGTCATGGATTGTATCCAATGGACTTTGTTCAGTGGTAATTGTGTATGATACCTGAAGCAGAGTTCAAAAGTCTCCACTGTTGTTAGTTCACAAGCTCCTGAGAAGTTGTGTTTCTTGAACAGAGGGTTGGAAAAGAAAGAAAAGGTTCTAATTGTTTTTTGGGAGAGGTGGAGGGAGGGGAAAGGTTACCAGTTTATGCATGTTCTTTCTGAAAAATATGTAAGACTCCAAGACTGAATGTTTAAGGCAGAATGTTGGTAATGCTTTGGTTATTTGCTGTTGATTTTTTTTAATGTCAAAGTATTTCCGCTTTCTATTGAATTCTTGTTATGCTGAATTTAACTATAATTTTACGTTTTACATATAGATACTATGGATAACCTTCACTTGAGTGTCATAGCTGTGGTCCTTTATTTTAATCTTCCTGGATCAGTGGGAACCAAGTCACAGCAGATTCTTCTTGCTACACATCACCATTCAGAATGCCAGTGGGATGGGGAGTTCCTACTGAATTGTTCTTTTACCGGAATATCTACTATTCCAGAAGATATATCACAAACAGCAATAGTGGCTGATTTTAGTTACAATAATATTAAAACTTTTCTGTGCACTAATGGAAGAAATGAAGAATGGATGCTGAAACACCTAAACCTCAGTAACAACCTGATTTCTGAACTCTTCTTAACTACTTGTACAAATTTACCTGTTTTAGAAACTCTGAACCTCAATGGTAATGCCATCCACACCCTCACACTGGACACATCTGTGCCTGCACCTGGGTCTAAAACGCACAGAATTGTTGATCGCGTCCTGCCTGCTTTGAAACTATTGTCAGTTGAAAGAAATAATCTTAATACAGTTCCAAGAGGTAAGCATTTCAAAAATCTTTAAGGACCTGACTTCCCAGGGGTAAGTTGGTTTTGGATATAATTCACACATTTTACTGAATTCAGAATGTGACTTTCTCATTTAGTTATACTTAAGGTGAGGGAAAGTTCCACCTGCAAATACAGAGCAAATGGATTGTTCCGGTTTAGGTTGGGGATTTTTTTTATACAGTTTTTGCAACTCTAATGCCTTAATATCAGTCAAATATAACCAAGTTTATCCTGTAAGAGCCCAAGCAGTATTTTTGCTTTTTGTATAGAAAGGGAAGTAAGGATCTTTGGAAAAACACCAGCCTCACCAGTCGTGAACCGTAACATTAAGAAAATTGCAGAAAATTAATTTTATATTGCCCTTCAGAAGAAAGTCAACACTCCTAAATAAAACTTGCTCCAATTTTAGTATTTTAGGAAGACAGGAAAACATATTTTGTTCAGTCAAAACAATTTTGCTCTATGCCATCTGACACCCAATGGAAGTGACACCTTGGTGTAACAGGAGAGGGCTGCAAAGTTTTGATAGACTTTTAGAAAGGCTTTGCTGGTCACTGAGCTGTGCAGGGCATCTTAGCCTTTATCCTCATAAAGGGATGATTCCCATTGTCCTAACTCTTTAAATGAAGCAGAAGGTGCTGAATGAGCAACCCTATCCTATATAATGTGTTGAATTTATTGATCTCTGATAACATCATCAGATTCATTAGCTCTAGAGTTTGAAAATAAGGGAGGACGTGGGATGACAAACAAAAACCCCACTTATGCCATAATGTCAGACAAAGGCAATAAATGTGCACCTACACAGGGTCCTGAAAGTTCTGGCTTTCTCCTTTTATGGTATTAATTCTCTGGCATGCAGGAAATCCATTTCACTTAATCATTTTGTAGTATCTGTAAGATCATACAGACAATATAGAAAAGCTTACTTTATAAAATACATTGATGCAAATTTAGATAGATATAACTACACATTAGAGGATGCCTCAGTGGGTCAGACAGATCAATCTTTTCTATAAGAGACTCAATTTTTAGATGTTAAAGGTCAAATTGCTTTGCATGGTACCACAATAATTCAAGTTAAATCCCATATTCATTTAAATACATGTTTAGAACTTTATTTTCCTCATCCAAAATACTTTACTAACATTCTAGTTTTTAAGATCAGGTAAGAAAACACACACTGCAGTTCTAAAGCAAAGGTTTCCCTCAGAAACCCTTCTCACAGCTGCCACCCCAGGAGTCAGGCTGCTGCCCACTGCTACCCTACCAGTATATATTTTTAGCACAAGTTTAGCTTCAGGGAAGAATCCAAAGTACAATTCTTCATGCAGGTGCAAGGAAGAATTTATGAACTGCCAGAACTTCTGAATACCTTTCCTATCAGCTACCTCTAGTTTTACTGCAGGAATGAATCATTCCCTCTGCTTTTCACAATAAACCCAAAGATCAATTGCTTGGCAAACAGAACTGCAAACCGAGAAAAGAGATTTCCAGTAAAGCAGCTGACACCAAGGGCAAAATTTTTAAGAACAAGTAGCTCTCAACAATGCTGTATGATCAAAAATCAGTTCAGGGTGACCGTCAGGTGTTACACACTGCAGTGATGCTGAGTGTTCAAGGGTCTACCTTCCCACTGGAACTTGCAGGCTGGAGCTTCAGGGGCTGCCTATACAGCACCTAAGAAAAATGAGGTATCTCCAGCATTCAAAAAGGCTCCTTGTGTAAGACAGATGCTATCATAACTAGGATACACTGAAGAATATACTGCCATGCTGGATAATTCACAGGCAGACAAGCATAAGCAACACGTTTTTGTTTTCAGTCAGGTTTTACATCCTATGAATATGGTTCAAATAATTCCACATATTAAAAACTCCCATGAAATTGCAGATGGCAATGGATAGGAGACACTGTATCACCTTTTGTATCTCCATCTTTTACCTAAAATTAACATATTTGGATCTTGTAAACTGAATATATTCCACCCTTTTCACACTCCTCCTTTTCTACCTCCAGTTCTTCAGAGAAGTATGCTAAAGTACAGAGATCACAGGAATGTTACTGCTTTTATGAAAGTGTCAATTTTTAAAGCGTGCATTGACAGTGGATGTATTAATGTGCTTGCTGTTGATCCTATGCAACTTTTAGAATAGGACAACCACTGACTAGGAAAGGCATAATAACATAAAGGCTGCAGCCACTCATTGCAATACACAGGAATGGAAGGAATTTTGTTGCAAAGAATTTTATAAAGACACTTGATGTAATTGGGAAAACAAGAACATGAAATGTAACATAGTTTTGTTCTTCCTAGGACTAGGCCTGCTGCAATCTTTACAAACTGTTCATATGTCATCCAATAGCATACAACAGATTGACCCAAAGGATTTTCAAAACTGTTCAGAGCTGAAGGACATTGACCTGCAAAACAACAAGATAACTAAAATTCATCCAGATGCCTTCAGGGATCTCAACAAATTACAGGTTGTAAAGCAGTATTACAACTGCTTCAATATTTTATGTTAATCATCATTAAAGATATTAATTATCAACTGTTCAGCATGATTATATTGCTCTGATTATAATATTAGTGTACGATTATAAAAACCAAAGCAAATGGTGACAATAATATTTTTATATATTTGCTTTTCATGTATAGGAAAACACACACACATATAAATATACACAATATAAACATAAATTCACTATTTATCTATGTCACAAATCAATCCATATTTGCCTTAAACACACTTTTCTACCTCCAATTCCTTCCATGGCAAGAGCCCTGCAGTTTCTCATTCACACAGAGGTGAATGGAAGAATTCTAAACATACCACAATTTATCATTTTCATGTACATTAAAACCTTAAAACAATATTATTGAAATCCTAAATAGATGTATTGTTCGCGTAACTACAAAAGTGCTGGTATACTAAAAGAAACATTGTAGATGTTGTAATAAGGATTCCATTTTAAGACTAAACAAATTAATTATGAATTATTCCCAAATAGGTTGTGGATCTCCGTGAAAATCCTCTGACAATCTCTCTGCCACAAATATTGATCAATTTGAACTTCTTTCGACTTGAAGTGTATTTGTCAAATAATGCCTGGATACTTAACTGCAGGCTAAATGCTTTTAAACATTTAATTCATTTTCCTTTTGACCCCACAAGGAAAAAATGGAGCCTTTCATACAATAAGTTTGCCAACTCACAGAAACCTCTGCTGTATCTTTCAAGTTTCCATTTAAACTGCAGGGACAGTGTTTTGCTCAAGAGGGCTACAATCCCAACAGGGAACACAGCAGTGCTGAACTGTAACTTGGACAACACAAGGGGTATGTACATCAGGGACTCCATCTAAATCCTCTAAAATCCAAATGCATGCAGAATGATCAAAGAAATCTGGGTTTAAAAGTGGGGGTTTAAAGATACTGTTTAAAAATAACTGAACAACAATTTAACATGCAATTAATATACTGGTTAGAATATTTGAAAGTCATGTTTCCCAAAAAAGGCTTCATCTCCTTCCTTACATTAAACTAATAAGGATGCCAAGTTATACACAAACAAATTTCAGTAAGTAGTATGTTGCAAATGTATCAGTTCATTTTGGACTGAAACAAAGTACCAAATAGTGAGATGGCACTTCCAGGGCACGCAGAAAACTGAGAAGGATGCAATAGTTTTCAGTATTCAGCTAACCGCAAAAGGGAATGAAAGTTTATTTGCAAGGGAAAGGATTTCTATTCCTTCTTAAAAAGTACAGCTACTGTTGCGCACTTCACTTACATTTACAATTAATGCAGAGCACTGAAAGTACAAGAGACAAAACCTACAGAGCCAAGACTTCCCATGCAGATGGAAAATGAAGACCAGACTTAAGAGTAGAAGGTGTATGTGTCATATGCAGTGAGGCAAAATGGTTTAACTCTAGTGGAATAACAGCACTTGGGGGTGGTAAGGCTTTCCCCTGGGAATTATTCCCCAAATG